TTTGCCTCCGAGCTCTGCATTTTCCCAGGGCAATCCACTTCCAAGGTCTCAGCAGCACCTGTATCCCCAGCCCAAATTCCTGATGAGCTCCTCTCTCAGCCAGGCACCAGAGGAAGCACCGAGTAAGAGTGTCAGAAGTGTTCCACATCCTCCTGCATTTCCTTTCCAAATTTGCAGCCCTCAATTGCTGCAGGAGGCACAGCTGGCTCAGCTCCGCCGGAAACATGGCCAGTCAATTTTGGGAACATCTTTGGGAACTCTCACACTTTACAAGTGCTGAGCTCAGGGAAATTTTGCCCCTGTGCATTTCTTGGTACATCATTGGTGCCTCTCCAGCACAGCTCCTCTCAGGCCGGGGTTATATTTGCAATGCCAAGGGCAAATAAAGGCTCCAAGTGGTAAAAACTGTCCCTGGATCCCTGCAATGTCCAAGGCCAGGTTGGACAGGGCTTGGCACAACCCAGGGCCGTGGAAGGTGTCCCCACCCATGGCAGAGGGTAGCACTGGGTGATCTTAAACCCTTCCTTCCAAGCTGTTTTATGATTCACTGATTGCTAAAATGTGCCTTCTCTGAGCTGCTGCTCCCAAGGGCAGAGCTCTGAGGAGCAGCACGGTCACCCTCCCCTTTCCTGACTCTCCCCACACCCCCAGGGCTTGGAACACTCTCCTGGGGCTGGTTCACCCTCAGTTTACAGCCCAGCACAAACTCAGGTTCTACAGAGGGGTGGGAGAGGAGAGAAGGAGCCTCAGCACAGAAGGAAGCAGAAGATCTCAGTTAACAGCGCTCATCCTCCCATGTCCCAGATTCACTGGAAAGAAACCCCCGGTGCTTTGGCCCTGCAGGGAGCTCAGAGGGCTGATGAAGAGTTCCTGCTCCCATTCTCCTCCCTCCTGCCTCCCAGGATCCCATCTCTTTGGGATGTCCCACCTGTGGGATCACTCCCCTTCCATTTCCCCAAGCACTGATGAACTCCTCAGCCACTGGTCCTTGCTCAGCATTCCTCACAAACCCCTCAGGCTGGTGACCAAAGGAAATGCAACCACTGCTCTTAAAAATGCAAAATTCAGGCAGTCCTCGAGGGATTTCTCCCATGGGGTCACAACTCTGAGCTCAGGCTGAGCCCCCAGGGCACCTCTTTTAATGCTGCATTACAGAACTGGAACCTCACCCTGAACCCTCTCTGGAGATGGAAACTATTCTGGTTTATCCTCTCTGCTTCTGGTTCCAAGCAGCACCATGATGTTCAGTAAATAATAAACACAGCATGGCAACATTTCCCTTGAAATTAGGCTCAGAAGAAGGTCTGCAGCAGCCCACCAAGGTTTAATTCCTTTAGCAGTGTACTTCCTCCCAACGGAAAGAGGGGAAGGAGCAGAATTTTGACCGAAGGTGATTCTGTGTGTCTGATTTCAAATGTGTGAACACAAGTGACAACCAGCCCCGTTTCCAGTCCTGTGGAGAAGACAGCAGAGCTGTCCCTGTGTGTGAACAGGTGGCTGTTTATCCACGGGGTATGGCCAGACATGGAGAAGGAAAGGTGTAAAAAGCGACCTCACAGCGCTCAGTTCACACAGAAAAGCTGTTCACCTGCCTGCCTGTTGTTTGTTTTGTCCCTGCCAGCCTGGGAAAGGGGACAGCAATGACCTTCCAGGAGACAGAAACATTTTCCTTCTCCCCACACCAGCCAGCCATTCTCAGATATTCTGTGAATGTGATGTGCATGAAATACAGAATACCATATCTGGCGTTATGAAATCCCTTTTTACAGCTTCCAGATCTCCAGCAAATGTACAAATAAATGGGAAAGTGAGAGGGAGGGAGAGGCACAAAGTGAATCCCAGGCTGAGGGAGCAGTACTCTGCTAACTGGATGGCCAGAGCCAAAATCAGGAGCATCCAGTTATTTTAGCAAGCCTTGCCAAGAGACTAAATAGACGAGCACAGGCCAGGTGTCAGTGATTATAATCCCACTGCTGCCAAAGTCGCTCCCGTTTGCAGCCAGCCTGCCTTTGGCTCTCTCTCCCCAGCACAAGGAATAATTCCTGAAGCAGGGACTGGGAAAAGCAGCCCTACAAAGCACAGCTGCACCTGCCCTGCTCCAGGGCAGCTCTCACCTGTGGGACTCTGCTGAATGCTCAAAACCTCATGGAATATTAAAACAACACCATCCCTGGAGCTGCTGTGGAGAGAAGAACCTGTGGAGATACCTCAGCATGTTATTCCCAGGCAGATTCTGCGGTGGAAAATGAGTGGTTTATGGATGGGATGAGCTGGATGCTTCCACGCCCAAAATGATCCCTGTGCAGGTACCAGCTCTGCTCATCTGACCTCAAAAACCACCCCACCACCCACAACAGCATCTGAGCAGGCAGCCCTCTCCTTTCCCAGTTCAAATGGAACCGATCCATCACCCTTTCCCAAAACCACCCCCTTTTTGGGCCTTCAGCCACCCCCAGGCACGGGGGGTGAACACATGAAAGCAGAAAATGCTTTGGGAAACGTTGCTAAAAGAAGTAAAAGCAATCAACTGTTCAGCAAAGAGTCCTGGAGCCTGCCTCCCTCACGCAGGTATCCAGGCACTCCTCTCCCCTCTGACAGCTTCTTTTTTTGGGAGAAACCTCAGGTTGAGCACAGGGAATGAGCCAGGCAGCCCCGGGGGAGGATGGGCCTGAGCTGCATCACACCTGCACAAAATAATAGTTTTCCACAAGTACAGATAAATTAGGAAATAAAGAGGGGTTCCATTTCCTATTTTTTTCACCAAACACAAACCCTTTCCACTGCTGAAGACTCTACAAGGGTTTTTTTTTACCATTTTTAAGTGCTGTACAGTGAATATCTCTCCTTTTACAAGTGGAACCTTGTAGCTATGGAGACGCAGAATGTCAAATCCAAGCTGAAGACAGGATTTCAGTGGGGGCTTTGGGTTGCTACATGTGCCTTCAATGATCTGCTTTCCATCTCCTGAAGTCTTTATTATTCTCTATTATTTATTAGTCTGTAACAGTGTGCAAAGAGCCACTGGCTGCTCAATAAGGACACAAACACGGAGTGACCTGTCAGACACAGCTCTGGGGCGTCCTGCACAGTCTGATTTACACCCAGGGGCACCACAAACCGCCCCCCTCAGTCCTGCAAGGTTGTCATCAGTTTAATTTAAGCCAAATGAAACCGTTCTGGTGCAGCCACAGCACCTGGAAGCCAGGTGAGCTGGGGTCCCCTGGTGTTTAGTGCTGGGTGTAACAACCACGGCCACCTGGGGAATTACGCCACACTGACCTCGTGTTGCTGCACCTGGGAGGACTCCTGAGCCTTGCAATTACCTGCTGTAATCCCAATTATCCAAATTCCAGTCTCCCAAACATCGTCCCTGTCTTGTGTGATCCAAAACGCATTAGGGAGGATGGTGTCGTTACCTGGATGGTAACTCGGTTATCACGAGCACATTCATCTGTCTGCTTACCACCACGGAGCAAATGAAACCACATTTTAGTCAGGCTAATGAAACCTCAGTGGTGTCAAACCTGAGCATGAAGAGGACACATGAATGCTCTTTGTGACAGCCAGAGGAAATTCAAAATGATTTGACCATCACTCATTTTCTATTTATGCTGGTAACAGTGAATAAACCAAATCGCACACCTTCATTCTGCATTTCCTGGAGCAATGACAAGGATATGGCAGGTTTTCTGTTCTGTTCTGAAGACAACACTGCTCCAAAGAAAGCAATCCCAAACCACTGCATTTTTCTTCCTTCCCCTTAGCTCCACAGTCCAAAACCATCTGGGGAGTTCAGGTGGCAAATATGAAACCTCTCAAAAGGCGCCCCATTGTCAGAGAGTGAAAACGTTGGGTTTTGAACAATCCAGATCCAAGAACTGCAGATCCCACTCTGCTCATCTTCACCACACCTCCCACAGCACCTGGGCTCAGAATTCCCACAGCCAATCCCAACCTGCACCAAGGGGTGGGAATAAGCTCCAAGAGGCACATGAAACACTCTCAGTAGAACATCCACAACCAAGGAAGCAAAGTCCACCTGGTGCCACATCATAAGCCGGATTAAGTGACCAGGACTGCAGTGGAATTGTGCAAATCCTCCTTTGCCAGCTCTAAATAAGCAGCAGCATTCCAGGCAAACCCATCCCCTGCATCCACAGCAGTGGAGTCATTGGCAGGAGAGCAACAAAACAATTTGGAATTTCCTTGCAAAGCTGGACAGCAGAAGAGAAGCGCTGAGAGCTTTTCCTGATTGTGTTTCCCATGTTGCTGAGTCAAATCCTGACACGGCCTGAAGATTGTGGAAATCAACTCCAGCAGGGCTGTCTAAGCCTCCACTGATCACTGAAATGAAATTAAACCCTCCAAGAATCCCCTTTTCCCAACCCAGACATTTGCAAATGTGCTGTTTGACAAAGGCTCAAGTCCAGAGGAGCCTCTGTGCTCCTGCTGCTCCAGGAAAACAACTCCAAGATCCTGCTGCAGTCCTGTTGTCCCCTGGTTTGCTCCTGAACCAGATCAAAAATGCAGGGAATCTTTGGCAATAACATGAAATAGGCCATAAACCCCTCAAGATTTGATGTGAGGTCTGGAGAAAAGAGGTTTCCATATTTAGTTTTAAACCAGAAAAGGCTCTTAAGCTCCTCTGCATCTACCAATCCATTAAAAATAGGATTCTCTTGTAGCCACAGCTCATCAAATGGGTGCAAACAGGAGGAGAACAACACTCCAGATGCCTTTATCACAGTTGTTGACTCCAACTTAATCGCTTTTTTAATAAGTCTTAATTATTCAAAATAATCACCATCCCTTCCCTGCCTGTTGTCATTTAATGCGAGAGAACCTTCTACAGAGCAAACCCCAAAGCAGGAAAAAAAACAACCAAAAAAAGAACAAAATCTCATTAATCTTTCTAATATTTAGAGATACCTCAAGAGCTTCAAACATTTACCTCTCCTTCCCAGCAGCTGAAATGGTTTTAGGAGGATCATGGTTCATACCTCGCATTCCCTGGAGCCAGAGATGGTGTAGGTGCAGGGTCCAGATCCATTAACGGATACATCCATGGTCTCAGAGTTTGTTGGCTTGTAGTCCACGTAATATTCCTGCAAAGGGGAGTTCATTTGCCTCTCCGACTCCCGGGCCTTTTTCCTGCGCCTCTTCATGAGCGTGTGCTGCTGGAGCTGCTTCATGCTGGCAGGATAACGCTTCCAGGACACGTAGATGACCAGGAGGATCATGGCCACGGAGAGGAAGAGGGCCACGCTCCCCGCGATGATCTTGTGGAAGGACACGTGCTCGTATTCCGGCTCCACCGCGGGCGTTGGGATGTCTGCGGAAGGGCTTGGCATCGCGGATGTTGGCTGGTGGCTTTCCAGTTTGGAAACGGTGGGTTTGGGGATGAACAGGGGTCTCTGGGGGGTTTGGGGGGCCTGGTAGGACCTTTCGGTAGCCACCACCTGGATTTCGGCACAGATATTATAAGTTTCCACAGCGTCGCTCACCTTCTCGCCCTGGATGTGTTTGGGGCCTGCACAGATCATGGTGCTCTCCTTATTTCCCTTGAAATTCTTAAGCCAATTAAACAGGGGGCAAATGCTTCGAGTACATTCCCACATATTCCCGGACAGAGTGATGGAGATGAGCGAGATCCACGTGTTGATGGTCTCCTGGGAGATGTTGGTGAGTTTGTTGGAATCCAGGTTCAGCTTTTGCAGGTTGGGCAGGCACTGGAAGGTGCCGGGCTCTACCCCTGCGATGTCATTGCCCGATAAATCCAAGTTGTGCAAGGAACTCCATGTCCACGTCAACCCCTGGCTGATGGAGCGGATCCTATTCCACTGCAAGTAAATGGAGCGGAGGTTGAAGAGCCGCGGGAAGTGCGCAAAATTGATCTTAGAAAACTGGTTGTGCTCCAAGTGGAGCTCCGTCAGCTTCAAAAGGCCGGCGAAGGCGTTGCGGGACAAGCTCCGCAGGCGGTTGTAGCCCAAATCCAGGAAGTCGAGGTTGCGGCAGTCCTGGAAAACGCGGATGGGCACCGTTTTCAGCGAGTTGGACCTCAGGTGCAGGATCAGGAGCTTGCGGAGGCCCTTGAACTGCTCCGCCTGCAGCACCTGCAGCTTGTTGTAGGACAGGTCCAGGTTGCGGAGGTTGGGCACGGGGTGGAAGGTCTTGTTGTGCAGGTGGGTGATTTTGTTGGAGCTCAGGATCAGCTCCTTCAGCCGGCGGATCCCCTGGAAGGCGTCCTCATCCACGGAGCTGATGTAATTGTGGTCGAGGTACAGCCATATCAGCTGATTGAGGCCCGCGAACTGGTGGGATTTCAGCTTCTGGATGCTGTTGTAGCGCAGGGACAAGCCCTGGGAGCCGCCGGAGATGTTGTGGGGGATGTCTCGGAAGGCGTGCGACTCGCAGTACACGATCTTGCCATCGCAGCGGCAGTTCTTGGGGCAGGCTCGCTGAGCACCTGCCAGCCCCGCCAGCAGCGCCAGAGGAAGCAGCCCCAGCAGCACCCTGGAGCCTCCCCGCTGCTTGATTACATGGAAACCTGCAAGATCCGAAAGGAAAAAGGGCCATTGGAAAACCTCGCAGATAAATTACCACATCACCGGGGGCTCGGGGACAGCCTGAGCCCAGTGGGGCTTTGGGAGACAACCTGTTCGCCTCCTGCCTCGGCTCTTTGTGGTGCAAATCGCCGTCCTTGGAGTGCCTGCCTGGCCATCTCTCCTGCCCCCGCTGCCACCAGAGCCCCTCGGTGGGGCTTGTGGTCCCCCAGGACCAGCAGGAGCCTGTTCCCTGCCGGCTGTGCTCCTGTCCCCTGGCTCTCCGGGGAGCTGGGGTGTCCTCAGCGCTCCGTGCTGAGGTTTGAACAATAAACATATTTGTCAAGTCACTGTGCTGGATGCTCCATAGTGCTGGAGAGGAAATGAGCCAGAGCTTCTGCTCCTACGTGCTGCTCAACGTGCTCCTCAAGGAAAGCAACCGCAAGTCCAGTCCCCCCTGCCCAGATTACCCCAGACAGAGTGAAATCCACTTCTCCCAGAGTTTGATCCATCTCTGTAATGTGTATTTATGTAAAATGAGGCATTAAGTAAAGGTTTTACTTTTTTCACTGAGTGATTCGGGTTTAAGAGTAGCTTTAAGTAAAACTCATGGGGGTTTATGTACCTAAAATACAGAAGTAGATGCAGAGGAACTAAGTTTGTCCATACAGAGGAGTGTACCAGGAATGCTGGCGTGGGACCCCCATGCCAGGGAAAGGTAGGAGATGTTGTCCTTTCAAATGAGTCACTGCCTAAACCCATGCTCATTTAAACTTATCCACATATGGCTGTCAATACCTAAACAGTTATTAATTTGAATTAACCCAGTAGATGGTGAAAATACCCACCCCAACACTTCCAGATAGCAGCAAACCCAGAAAGTTTAAAGGGGGATATTTCTCTTTCAATTCCCCTCTCTTGATTGATTTTAAGGGTTTGCCTTTAAGATGTCATGTTTGTCATGCAGCAGCAGTGCTGGGTGTGAGGACATATGTAATAATTGGATATATAGAATCCTGAATAATTATGAGAGGGCGTGGAGGGGGTGTCAGAACCCCCAACACCCATCTGCACGCCTGGAATAATTTTAGGGCTGCTGCCTCTGTCCAGAGTTGCAGCCTTGCTGAGAATGAAAATGCATTCTTCCAACAGGAAATATTTCAAGGGCTCATATCTCCTTGATAAATAATCACTTTATTATTTGCCACACACACACACAAAACCAAGCCAGTGCTGCAGGACTTTAATCCAATTTTAAACCGGGGGGGCAATTTGCAAAAATAATTCCTGATCTAGAATGCCCCTGCCTTCCACTTTAATGGGTAGATTTGTAATTTAAATCCTCATTTTTTTGCTCCGTTCTCTTTGCCAGCAGCAGACAGCTAGAAATATGTTCTGCCTGTTACAGACTCGGGGGCTGGGGAGGGGGGGAAGGAAGGAGGGGAATAAACCTGTCACACTCGGAAAAAAACCCCGACTGGCAAATGACTGCTGGAAATGTAGCAGAGGTACCAGGGGCCTCTTCAAAACCACCTATACAAGAAACAACTCCCCCCTCCCTCCCCTCTGCCTCTCACATCCTGCAAAGTGCCACCGCCACCCTCCCTGGCAGCCCGGCTGCTGCCGGGGACTCGGGAGGTGAGGGCGGCAGGAATTTGGGGTGAAGGAGGCAGGATTTTGGGGTGAGGGCAGCAGGATTTTGGGGTGAAGGCGGCAGGACTTTGGGGTGAAGGCGGCAGGATTTTGGGGTGAATTCGGGCACCGCCGCAGCTCCCGGAGCCCGCGCAGGTGCGGCTCACACAGGAGCGGCTGTGCCCCTGGCTCGGGGCAGGAATTCACCCCAGGGCTCCACTGCGGGAGGAAAGGTGTGTGTGTGTGCGCCTGGAGGGGGGGACGAAGGCTAAAAATACAGCGGCGAGTGCAGGCAGTGAGTCACCTGGCAGCGGAACGCCGCTGCCTCCCGTGCCCCCCCCACCACCGGCGAATAATCCAGCTGCAAAATCCACCCCACAGCTGCAGCTGTGCCAGCAAACAAACCACAAAAGTTCACTCACCCATCCTTTTGTCATCAATAACGTCCTCCTTCGCCTTCCTCCAGCTGTTTTCTCCTCTCTCTTCCTTTTTTTTTTTTTTTTTTTTTTTTTTTTTTTTTTTTTTTTTTTTTATCCCTTTCCCCTCGCCTCTCTCTCTTTTTCGAGCCCGGTTCCTTTGCTTTAAACCATCAGCATCCTCATGTCACAGCCCGGCTGCCACTCGCCCCGCCGCCATCCAGCGTGCCTGCCGGGAGCCCCACAAAGTTCCCCGGAGAGGACCAGCGAGAATTTTGGGGATGAGGAAGGGAAAGGATAAGGGAAGGGGTTGGGGGTGGGGAAGACAGGACGAAGGATGGGGGGAGTGTGGGGGGTAGGGAGGGACTCTAAGCTCTGAGAGCCATTGTGGAAGTCATCAGAGAACCGGCGGCGTTAAGTGGCAATCGGCGAGAAAAGCCGGAGAGGGCGATGGAGGCGAACCAACTTCTCTGGGAGGAAGGACCAAAGCTCTGCCGGAGCCTCGCATCCCTCATGCTGCTGCCTTTTGCCATCGCCGGGCACAGCGATCCATCCTCCTCCGGCTCCCGGAGCAGACAGGGCCTCCCGTGCCAAGGCAGAGCCCGCTTCAGCAGCCCCGCAGGCTCGGTTTATCCATTTAGCTGCTCGGGTTTAAAGTGTTTTGTAGCTGTGCTGAGAGACAGCTCTCGTCTAATTCCGAGGCTTTCCAGAGAGCGATGATGCTCCGGAGCTGGCTGGTGCCGAGGCTGGAGTTTGTGGAACACCGACTGCCCTCCACTGGAGAAAACCCAACGCGCATTAAAGGCTGAACAAGTGAGGCTGTCATGGCTCTGCAGACTTTGCTTCCCTCGGAAAAGAAAATTAAAGACACAGCATTGCCTTGCCCACCGTGCTCCCCTGCCAGACCCCTCCGCCTCCCCCGGACTGTGGAATGTTTATGGTGTGGGATTTTCGGACACAGGCGCTAAACAAAACACCTGCTCCCTTTGGGATTTGCCAGCCTGAGCTTGCTCTAATCCATCTGACCTGTGTATTTGGCTTGGGCAAATTCTAAACTGTTCTTCTTTTTTTTTTTCTTTCTTTTTTTTTTTTTTTTACCTGTATTCCCGGGGGAGGAGGGGGCAGGAAAAGGAATGTTTGCAGGTTAAAAGTGAGAATCTTGGTACGGGGTCGAGGCTGTGATCACACCGATCATCCCCACAAAAGGTATTTGTTTTGAGTGCAGGCAGCAACTCCAAACGTAAACACTCCTGCTGCGGCTGGAACAGGGTTAATCCCCTGCCTCGTAGCATGTAATTTTTTTCTTTTTAAATCTAAGTGCCTTTTAGTCAGAAAAACACTGACTTTGATAAACAAGGCAGAAGTGAAGCTGCAGAGTCAGTAACACCTTTTTTCCTCCTGAGCTGCTCTCCCGTGGGGATCCTGCAGAGCCAGGCTGGGACCAAGGTGTGTCATCTCCACCTGTGTCCGGCCAGGTGTCCAGGGCTGGGATCATTCCCAGTGCCCAGGGCTGGGATCATTCCCAGTGCCCAGGGCTGGGATCATTCCCAGTGCCCAGGGC